CTATAGAACCGATATCGATGAAATTTGGTGTGATAATTCTACATAACATGAAGTTTTCTTGAGCCAAGTATAAAGGTCCTATTCCCAATTTAAATACCCCAAAAAAATGTCCTAAAAAGTATTGTTTTTTAACCCCATTTTTGCGATTTTTTCGATTTTTACCATAATAACCATGATTCATTCGATTTGTAACTAGACATGTTTTGTAAAAAAATTAATTGCAAACATTTTCTTCCTCATCCATTTTTGCCTAAAATCAACTCTTGAAAAGATACATAATTAAATAGGAACACAAATATGACATATTTCGAATTTTTTTAATATATTGTGCCGCCAAAAGTTAAGCCCACGTTTTTTTTATGCGCATAGAAAAATTTTCATTTCTAGTGATATTTGAAAGCCAAAAAGCCAAAAATCTCCGTGGATATACGATTCACCCAAACCAAAACAGATACCGCCTAGTCTATTATATTAATTTTAATTCTTTATTATATTATATATCTGTTATATCTTATATTAACAATTTACCTTGTATTATTACTACATTAGAAAAATACAAGTACAAGTACAAATTGTTTAATATTGTGTAAGAAAATTAAATACTAAACAATTAAAGTAAAAAAAACTTATATAAGTTTAGTAATTCACAATAAGAGTAATACGTGTTAACATGTTAACAGTATATTAATGAATGTCTGTCTCAGGAGTATTCTGTCCGCTTCCAAGTCACAAATGTTTATACTGAAACAGCGCCTATTCATTACTTATAACCCAAACAAAGTCGTCTAAGGGTGGCCGGCTATGTTGAAATTCCAGACGCCAATCTTGTACCGTTTACAGTCGGCCATCCTGATGTTCCTGATTGTCCTCAATCAGGTCAAAACTGGATTCAGAAGCAATGAACATCAATAAAAATTAGTTCATTACAAAATATGCAAAACTTTCGCATCAGTAAGCATAAAGATACAGGAGTTAAATACAAGACTTTAGAAGAGTAAAAAGCATAAAGCAATCATAACAAGAAGGTACCTTCTATTCATGCAAATTATTATATGGCCAAACATTTACTTAGAATCACACCAATCATCCCATAATCAAACCTCTATGGGGCATCTCATAGATGAACATTTACGAGGCATCATGTGGGCAAACATCCACATGGAATCACACCAATCATCCCATACTCAAACCTCTATGGGGCATCCCACAAATGAACATCTACAAGGCATCATATGGTTAAACAATAACATGAAAACATACCAATCATCCCATAATCAAACCTCTATGGGGCATCTCATAGATGAACATTTACGAGGCATCATGTGGGCAAACATCCACATGGAAT